TCTTCTATAGTGAAATAAGCAATACTAGACCAAATACTTTTTGGCGGGAGCGCGAGGAGTGAAGTTGTGTGATTTGTTTTATTTTGTCTATTTAGTGTTTCTTCAGGTTTAAATGTGTAATTACGGTGGTTTATTAACTGTTTAATATCTGTTAAAGTGCAGAAATGTGGAAAAATGAAACAAAGCCGCTGGACGTAACTTCTCGGGATCCTCCAAAAATTCCACTGAAAAAAATCTCGATAAATGACCAGCATTTCACTGAGATTATATTTCATCCCATATCATCTCATCTCATTTCATTTAATTTCATCCCAGTTGATTTATTTCTTAAATTAATCATCTTCATTGCATTTCATTTCACCGCATATTATCATTTTTTATAAAAATATGAATATAAATTAAAATAAGACACGACTTAAAGATCTTAGTTACCAGGTCATAAAATTCTATTAAAAAAAAATACTAGACCAACAAAGTACGTCTGTTTCCTATTAAATCTAGTTCATTCTCAACCTATTGTGTGTGACGAGGTTATCAATTGCGCGACTCTATCTCGTCGCTCGACACAATTTAGCTAAATTTTAACTCAAATAACAAACACGTAGATTCAAATTATTAAAATTGTAATTTTTAAGGACACGTTTAAAAAAAATACATACGTATTTCTATCTTTTGCGGCTCAACCATTAAATACCTTTGTATATAAATCTATATATTAATACGTGAAGCAAAAACTTTTTATCCCTTTTTACGAAAATTGCGCGGACGGAGGAGTATGAAATTTTCCACACTTATAGAGAATATAGAGAAGAAGTGCATAATGCTAATATTTTTTTAAAATAATGCATAAAAGATACATTAAATCAATAAAGAAAACATTACACACACTAAATTCCATGTATTTGACGCACACACGCATGCATACTGTTTATTGTCAAACTTTTGTTCTTGGCGTCTGTTGTCAAGTTGAGAATAGATTAAATATTGTTTGTCTTTATTAATATTTTTTTATAGAGTAGTCTTGGCGAAATTTGTGATTATAGAAGTATAAAATACAATCATAATAGTGAACAAACTTACAATTCCAATTAATTATAGTCGAATTTCGACTACTGCGGGACCTCTAGTACATAAAAATTACTCAACAAAATGCGCGGTTTTAAAAATTTCAAAAATAATTTACAATAGGTGTTAGCTATCTGTTTCGCTATTATATTCTTTTGTTCATAAAATGTGTTTGATGGATTGATAATAACGGAAACTATTTGAATTATTTTTAAAGTTTCTAAACATTAGATTTTATGTTAGGAGATAATCATAAAACGTGTGGGTGGTAGATTTGGAACATAAGGTATGAGAACATTTTCTTTAGTATCATATTATATATCCAGGAAGGAAATAAGAGAACACGTTTCGTAGGACTAAGCTACGCACGGTCCGCTTGCCCCTATTCGACTAATTAAATATGTTTATAGGACCTCTTGCGAGTCCGCGCGGGTAGGTACCACCACCCCGCCTATTTCTACCGTGAAGCAGTAATGCGTTTCTGTTTGAAGGGTGGGGCAGCCGTTGTAACTATACTTGAGACCTTAAAACTTATATCTCAAGGTGGGTGGCGCATTTACGTTGTAGATGTCTGTGGGCTCCAGTAACCACTTAACACCAGCTGGGTTGTGTCCACCCATCTTAGCAATAAAAAAATAAAAAAAAAAAAAAAGTTTACTCCATTGAAATATGTAGCTGAAGAAGTGTTTTTCTTATAATATGTTTTCTAAATTTTAAACTCTAAATAGTTTTCTTGTAACGTTGCAAAAGTGTCGCTTATACCAAATAGTCTTTCAACCCTCGGTATTATAGTGTACCCTGACATTTAAGGCATAAAATCGCTTAACCGAGATTTAAATTTTCATATATTAATTGACTAGCTTTTGCCCGCGACTTCGTCCGCGTGGAATAGTTCACAAATAATACTTTATTTTAGAACTAATTTGGTTAGCCTTCCTCGATAAATGACCTATCTAACACTGAAAGAATTTTTCAAATCGGACCAGTAGTTCCTGAGATTAGCGCGTTCAAACAAACAAACTCTTCAGCTTTATAATATTAGTACGAGATCCTAAATCCGTTGAACATATTTATGCGAACATTTTTAAGATAATTACCTCGAATTCAAGTTCGTCAAGTTGATGTCAGTATTGTATCTAAAGGTCAAAACATCTAACAACAGAAGACCGTAATAGCTGCACTAAGCATAAAAGAGAGTTTGGAATTAAGTAAGTAAACACCAAAAAAATCTTTTTAACATTATTTTATAAACTTAGTATGTATGTTTATATATGTGTGTTTATTTCTATATAACGGAAATATGTTCAAGAAATCCGATTAACTAAAAACGCATCAATTTGCAAACGCATCAAGGATCAATCAAATACAATAATTTTATATGTCCGATTAACTGAAAATTTGCAAACGCATCAAAGATCAATCAAATACAATAATTTTATAGGTTCGCTCTAATATCCTGACTTGTACCAAGAGGATAAAAAGAAGACGAAACTAATTGTTAGTTCTTAGACTTTGGCAAACGAACGTTTTTTTATGATTGAACGATTACTGGTGGATCGGAGGCCTTTCCAGTTTCACCAGGACAGGTGGGCGAGCAAAAGCTCAGTCAGAAGGGGTGGGATTTGCTAACAGCTGCCCGAGCGCCTCCGAAGGAGACCTAACTCAAGAGCAACTGCTTCGCGAATGAATCTCCTACCGGATCAAAATCGCGGCCCGCTGAGAAGATCCGGCAAGAAACTCAGCGGGCTGATGCATGGGTTAGGTTGCACGTCGACTTCTTTGTCGAGTTCGACGAGTACGGTTACCGGTGAAGAAGTATTGTCTCTCGCTGTGTCTGTTTAATTTAAGTTGCATGTAAGAGCATTTCCTAAGCTAGAGACGATAAGCAGCGTTTGGTCCGGTCACCGTCCTCATCGAACCCGTCTCTTGCGACGAAGGGCTCGACGAGCGAATTAACCCATAGACACAGCCCACTGAGTTTCTCGCCGGTTCTTCTCAGTGGGTTGCGTTTCCGATCCGGTGGTAGATTCTGCGAAGCACGGCTCTTGCTAGGGTCAGTGTTAGCAACACTCCGGTTTGAGCCCCGTGAGCTCACCTACATACGTTAGGGCGAAGCTGAAATACCTCAAGGCTATCAGCATACGTAGGAAAAGAAAAAAACGTTTGGTTCTCAACATCGAAACTTTCCAGATATATGTATCATTCTATTACCTCCAACTATGTTTGTCTACTGTGCTACTATATAACTTCAATACCAGCCTCAATTGGTTTTAAGCGACTTAGCTTTGACATTTCTAATAATAATGGAACATAATGCTAATTTGCGTTGCAAAAGAATAAATGAAGCGAAGTAAACTTGTTATTCGGTACGTTTTTACATCGGATAAGTTTTATGTCTCTGCTTATAACAGCTATTTAGAAGAAGATGAACAGTCTCTCTAAATGCCTGCTGTTTCGGGGATTTCTGGGTGAAATTTTCGATTGATGAACGTTTCTGGAGTCCTAGTGGATTGAAAGATAAGACTCGTATCGAGCGATGCGACCGTTCCGGTGCAGCGGTGCTGGAATTGCGTAGGCGGGTTCCGTACCAAATTTTCTAATGAAATACGTACTCAACATATATATTATGTTCAAGAATAACTTCGATTATGAAGGAATATTTTCGTGTAATTAAAATTAATTTTGCTAAAAGAGGTATAGTGTATTTTAGGCCCGCATCGGTAGGTACTATCACTCTGCTCATTTTGGGGCGCGAAGCAGCCATGCCTTTTGATTTGATGAGTTGGGAAAGCTGTTATACAAATTATACCATAGACAATGTCTCACGCAGGATGACAGCATTCACAAGCGATGTTATAGTTTTAAGTAGTTAGGCTACTGGGTATCAGTCATGCCAGAGGAACAGCTAAGGCACTCCCGACCGGCAATGGCTTTTTTGAAAGGCTCCTGTGAATGAGGACATGTCCAAATTCTTAGAGAGTTCAGTACGTGGCAAAAATAGCCACTTTTTTCCTTTCTAAGCTGATAGCCTTGAGAGGCTATTGCAATTTTACTCTAGCGTGTAGGTGAGCTCACGGGGCTCAAACCTGACGACGTTGCTAACGCTAGCCCTAGCAAGAGCAGTGCTTCGCAGAATCTACCACCAGATCGGAAACGTGACCCACTGAGAAGATCCGACGAGAAACTCAGTGGGCTGTGTCTGTGGGTTAATTTACTCGTCGAACCCTTCGTCACAAGCTACGGGTGCGGCGAAAATGATGACCGGTAAAATACCCTCGAGAAACGCACTGTGGATGAATGAAAAAGTAGTAGAGACTGTCTATGCTTTGTTGGCAGAAGGGGTGATGATAAAAAAAAAACAACAAAGATTTCCTCTAGTGATTCAGAGGATTTCACACGGAACATACGGTAAGACAGAGAGCATCAGTCTCTTTGTGGAACTGGTAATTCCTAAACATCCGTAAAACTATGAATAGATAGCATATTAAGCTATTTCTCCACGTTACACCCAAAAGGCTAAGAGCAGACGTGCAATACTGTTACGACTAACTGTGACAAGACAACTAACATTAATTATTTTTTTTATACCAGAAATATAGCCTTATCCATATGCTTGTTGGGATTACAAAATATCTAAAATAACACCGTGAATTTCTCCTTGGTTACAAACGTGCCAAACAACGGGAGAATGTCACACGGATCTCTGTACAGGCAAGGTCGAATGCTCTGTTAAATGCATTCAACGTGTGTCTTGAACTATCGTGAATCATAAATTGAGAATGGCAAAATATCTAACCGGTTTGCCGAAAAAATAATAATCATAAAACCTTATTGTATTGGTAAAAACCATGATCGAATCCGCCCGTATATTTCTTACCTGTTGAATTCGTTCTAGCTTTTTTTTTTGTTATTTTCATGTAAATAGCACAACTTACCGTTTCTTAAAATCGAGTACGGAAATAATCACGAATGACGTTTCATTACGTATTTTTGTCAAAAAACGGGCTCCGCGAGTTCAGTCGCCGAGGTGTGTCTTGTGTAGTTCTAAGACCCACAAAGTTCACAATGCACTTTACCGTTACGCACTAAATTTCACATAAAAACACCACAAGACACGAAACAAATATTAACCTAACAAATTAATGAACTAGTTAATTAACTACGATGTCATTGTTAAGTTACATTCGTAAATTTACGTTTGTCTATAAGTTTTACGAGCTAATATCGACCACCGTGGATTACGCTACACAACTGACAAACTTAGCTGTTTACGTCGCTTACAATTCGTTCCATTGATACTTAGTGTAACATCTCTTTCGCACGAGCCAAACTTTTACGAGCCGAAAAGAGATAGCGTGACCGAGGCCTTCATTCCGCTTGTAAAAAAAACGATACTAGCGCCTCTGTTGGTATTTACATAAACTACGCGTGAGGCTTCGTTTAAATCGATCGAATCGAAAAGTTGCTAGTTGCCTTTCAAGTTATCCAGAAGATGGCGCTATTACACATTTTTAAATGTCTCTATAAAATTCCCTGTAAAAATGTACATAATATAGTCCTTAATAAAAAAAAATTCATAAAGTGTTCATGTCCGAAAACTGACAAGATAATAACATGGCAATCCATACCGTGTTTTATCCGTACCGTAGTTTCGACCTATTATGCTGATAAATTGATCATTTAATTGTTTATAGGTATTTATGTAAACGACTTCACACCTTTTTTTTTGCTTCCTGAAGACCATGGACCACATGAATGCTGCCACGCTCCCGCTCGACCACACTGCATGAGGTTATAGTATCAATTATAGTGTGTGTCAAAAGGGCAGTTCATTGACCTCATACTTTATAATATAATGGTAGATTGTTCTGAGAACTCTACAATGCATTGAATTTTCTTTTTATAGAAGAGTGTATTAAGTAAATTGTGATTCAAAGCACTACGAGTACCTCTCCAGACATCCAGGATTCCAATCTGTCAACAGCCATTCCTATCATTTTCATTTTACGTAGTTTTATTATGATAATTAAAATGATTAAAATTTAACAACATTGTGCTCACCAGTACCTATAACGATTCCTTGGTAAATAATAACCAGATTCGTAGAGCGATTCCGTGAAGACAATCACTAACAGTGATCTACGTCTGTCATTGTAACAGCTCTATCAAGAGTCGATGCATAGCGGTTGGTAATTCTTCAAGCTAGTTATATTATGTCCCTTCGAGCGTTCACTCTCATCAACTAAGGACAACTTTAAGCTCTACAATGTAGAGTATAGTATGGTACTTTCTTTGATATTCACGAATGATATATATAATTTAAGCTGTACTTTTACATTTAAAATATAGTGTTAATAAAGTAATATGAATTTCTATTCTCACTCCTTTACTGTGCACGCGGTCAGACTGTGGAATTCGTTGCCGGCTGACATCCGAGTTTGCAAGTCTGTTTCTGTTTTTAAATACAAGGTCAAACAATTTTATCTCTCATCAACCGAATGATCATGGTTCTATACTCTTCGTATATACGAGTGTTACTGTGTTACTCATAATATTTTGTATTCAAGTTTAACAATATTTGCTGTGTGTATGTGCATTACTATAATTCTCATGTTGTATTTGTTATTTTAGTTATGTGTTATTTGTTCTACACACACTCATCACTTTTTATTATTATTCTCATTATCCTCTCGCAGGTCTGCTGGAAGAGATTTCTTAAAGAAATAAGCAGTGCCTTGTACATAACTTTCCTATTACTCTATACTATGTCTTCTTTTCTGTGTGTACATAAAAAATAAAATAAAATAAAATAAATGAACACTAAAAACATATAACTTCCTTTTTAGTTATTACTCCATCATTAATTAGGGGAAAGTTTTATTTAAGTTTAAGCCGCACTATTGAAGCAAATTAATGTCCTCATACGCTTTGAATAGACTCTATCTACTACCTCGTTTTATATTATTGATATCTATCGAAGCAGTAACAAACTCCTTAAACCTCCTCTCTCATCCTTTCCTCCTCTTGCAAGAGGACGCTTGATAGCGTTGTGGGAATATTTCACGCGAAAGATAATTGTACCTAAAAAGGACCTCGAAGATAGATACCTTGTGTGTTTCTAAATATTTTTTCATTAGTTAAATCTTTCATGTTTTTCTTATTGCATAGATGGGTGGATGAGCTCACAGCCCACCCGGTGTTAAGTGGTTACCGGAGCCCATAGACATCTACAAATAATTCCGCCACCCATCTTGAGATATGAGTTCTCAGTATAGTTACAGTGCGTGTGTCCTTATAAACACATTGACTTATTATTTGTTTACCAAAGGCAATCGAGGCTGGTATGTTTCAATGATTATCGTGTAAATGCGGTTCAGATTTTCACCAGATTTCTTCTATTATGATAAACACAGCTACAGATACTCTATATAGAGTCGCTCTACATAATTACATAGAGTTCGCGCCGCGCTATCGAGTATCATTTCACTCTCTATAAGTGACGTAACTTAGTAAGCTTGCTAGCAAGTATTTACTGGTGGTATTGAAGTGGCGTGCACGGCTTACACAAGTTCGACCATTAAGTGGTTTTTGTGCTTGTAAAATTATAATAATAAGTGGTCCCACAGTAGTCGAAATTCGACTATAATTAATTGAAATTATAAGTTTGAACATTATTATGGTTCTATTGTTAAAGACGATTTATTATACTTCTATAATCATAAATTTCGCCGAGACTACACTATAGACAAATAATATTAAAAACAAATAATATTAATCTATACTTTATTTGACCACAGACTTTAAGCAATGACAAAAGTTTGACTATAAACACAGATTATTTATAACTGTTCAAATACATAGTGGTGTGTAATGTTTTTTATTTATTGAATAAATGTATTTTTTATCCATAATTTAAAAAATATCTGAATTCCTTCTCTATATTCTCTCTAAGTGTGGGAATTTCATGCTCCTCCGTCCGCGCAATTTTCGTAAAAACGGGTGCAAAGTTTTTGCTTCACGTATTAAAATATATACCTATAGATATTATTCTTTAAGCAAAACTAATTACATTTCAAATATTATACTTATAACAACTCCTAGCTACTGAGGACTTTTTTACAGTACTCAATGAATTATGGTAATCGTTAAGTTTCTTTCAGCCAGAATTTACTGGTGGTAGGATCTCTTGTGAGTCCGGACGGGTAGGTACCACCGCCCTACCTATTTCTGCCGTGAAGCAGTAATGCGTTTCGATTTGAAGGGTGGGGCAGCCGTTGTATCTATACTGAGACCGTAGAACTTATATCTCAAGTTGTGTGGCGCATTTACGTTGTAGATGTCTATGGGCTCCAGTAACCACTTAACACCAGGTGGGCTGTGAGCTCGCCCACACATAAAGCAATAAAAAAATTTAGCAGGAATGTCGTTGTGTTTTTTTTCATTCCTTCGATGGCAACTAAGCTTACATCTCACCTGGGGTAAAATGACTAGCGTCGTATATCTATAAGGCCAATACTAAGGACACGGCTATTGCCTATAAAAAATATTTATGCGCGCTGTTAGAAGCTCGACTCGACTCCGCTATAATCTCGTACACAATTACTGACGTGTGTCAACTTCAGAAAAATAATCTATCAATACCTACTAGTTTAAATTATACAAATATATATCGGCGCAGCGCTTACTATTTATAGATATAGTGGGAAAAGATTTTCCTTCGTAATTTTTTCGAAAAAGTTCGTATTTTTTGTGTGCTCTCCCAAATAGCTTCAGTACAATTTGACATTTTCATTTTGACATTTGATACTAAACAATAAAGTTCCATATTAATGTATGTGAAAATGTGGAAAATGTCACTTATTTAATACGATCATTAATTGACAGTTCGTGTGTCATCGTATTCCGATAAAGATCCGAGTTTTCCCGAAGGAAAATAGTTTCTCACTACATCTCTACAGTTAACTAAGATTAGTTAAAGATCAAAAAAGTAAACCAAAAAAGTGTGTGTGTCCGCTCCGACGCACGACTGGAGTTTACTGGATATAAAAAATTAAACGAAACAATACGAGAAATAGTTCTATATTACGACAACACGATACACTACAGATTATTAACAAATTAACGAGACACAAAACAAACGACTAACAAGTATATGAAAATACAATAATGAGAGAAACGCGCGATCAGTACGAGGCTTTGTGGCGGACTGCCGGCGCAGCAGCCCGGCGTCACCTGCAATAACGCGGCCGCGCGTTGGCTCCTGATTGGCGCGCGCACGCATCACGCAATCAGGAGCCAATCAGGCGCATAACGCATTTCGTGTGACATGCTAGTACGATTTTGATTGGCGCGCGCACGCATCACGCAATCAGGAGCCAATCAGGCGCATAACGCATTTCGTGTGACATGCTAGTACGATTTTGGTCCCCATAATTTTCATACCCCGGGCCTATATATGTAAATCGATTCTAAAGGAGTAAACTCCAATAAATAATGTTTACAAGCTCATCTCGGATAAATGTTAAATGTTACGGCTCATCGTGATTCATAAATATGTATATCTATATATTAATACGTGAAGCAAAAACTTTGTATCCCTTTTTACGAAATTTGCGCGGACGGAGGAGTATGAAATTTTCCACACTTATAGAGAAGAAGTGCACAATGTTAATATTTTTTTCAAATAATGCATAAAAGATACATTAAATCAATAAAGAAAACATTACACACACTACATACCATGTATTTGACGCACACACGCATGCATACTATTTATTGTCAATCTTTTGTTCTTGACGTCTGTTGTCAAATTGAGATTGAATATTGTTTTTCTTTGTTAATATTTTTTTATAGTGTAGTCTTGGCGAAATTTGTGATTATAGAAGTATAAAATACAATCATAATAGTGTACAAACTTACAATTTCAATTAATTATAGTCCGAAATTCGACTACTGCGGGACCTCTAGTACATATTTAACTCGCACCAAAGTTTGTGAATAGCTGAGCGGCTAAGTTTTCCCGGTGGGGGCTAAGACGCAAGCGCCGGCGCCGCGCCGTAAAAAACTATAACATTAACGTTAGTCAATAATCAACGCGGTGACCGACCGAATGTTTTTTACCGAGACATTTCTAATTCGGTACTCGCTCATTGCGGACGTATTTTATTATAATAAAACCGATCACTTTTACTGTCACATTCGGGGAATAAAAAAGTATAAAAAAAAAACCATCGTCCAC